TAATTACCTACTAAAATTTCATTTCTTACATTAATAACAAGATTTATTATTCCATCTAAGAATTTTATATTTTGTATTTGTTTGGATACTATAGTTCTATATAAGAAGCAAAATAATATTGTTCCATTTGCTTATGAGATTAGGAGACTAATAATAAAATAGTTGTATTCTGAGATTAGTAGATCTATTAACAGTTTAAATGAAAAAATACTGAGCATATCTGATATTTTAGTCACTTTACTATAAATAAAATCTGTTGCCAAGATATGTATATTAAACATCTAAGAACCTTAAAATTCTTATAATTTTATAAAAATATACATAGAAGGAATTAAAAACTGCGATATTAATAAATATTTTAATTATAGAGATTAATTATTTTTTATGATTACGACCTTGAATATATTATATCAAGTCGCCACCAACTTACTTTTAGAAAAGACAGAACCAGTAATTACTAATAGTTTATCAGTTAATTAAATGGAATTAGGAATCATAGGAGAAATAAATCCAATAGAAATTAATGACTAAGTATTTTAGAATGATTAAACCTACTAAAGATATTACAATAATAATTCTTAAAATGAATAATTTTAATATTATTTATAAAATTGGCCTTTTTTATCGATTAAAAATGGCCAACCTTAAGTGAATGCTGATTAACAAATGGAACCAGATATTCAAATTCATTAAATGTTAAATATTCCTTTAATAAATGATTCTTAAGAAATCTTTGATAAAGAATTGGAAGAAGAATTAAATTATTGGACAGATGATGTTTAGTACATTATCGAAGAAGAACCTGAAAATAATTAAAATATTGATTATAGCTATAATTGCTTTATAAATGGAATATCAGATTAATTAGAAAATTATATATATAGAACAATTAAATTTGAAGGATTACGTTTTCCAAATTAATTTTAAATATACTTACAATAATTTAAATAAATTTTACCATCATAAAATAATGCCTAACTGATGCCTAATTTTAATCCATGGTAGTTGAATTTATATTTAGAGAATATTAAATAATTACCAAATCTCAATAGAGATTTAAATTAAAATATGGATTACAATTTTGGAAATGTTTAAAACCATAATATAAACAATAATGGAGTAGATAATGATGAGGAAAATGAAGATATGAGTGATCAAATAGATTTTGAAATGGGTCTAGGATACAATCAAGGAAATAATGATAACATTTAAATGGAATATGAAAATTAATAGTAACAATAATAACCATATAATTAACCTCTACGTTAGAACAATTAACCTTAATTTTTATAAATAAGAAATATTGTTAATTCTGTATTGAATAATAGAAAATAGACCCTAAAGCATTTAGGTAAAATAGATTAATAATTAATATAATTTTTGTTAAAATTCTTATATGTAGATGATAATTTTGGCTCAAATTATGATTACATAAATACTCTTTTAATAAGTCTTGGAACAAAAGCAAATTTTAACAATTAAATAATCTAAGCTGCCATTAACACTTTAAAAAAGACCACTTAAAATTAAATATAAGAAAATGCTGATTAACAAACTTTTGTATTTTCGAGAAATGGAATAATAAGAGATTTTGATTATTCCTCAAATTTTATCTAAAATAAAGCATTCAAACTTTTACTTTAATTACAATCAACTTCAAAATGGAATATATCTGATGAAAATATTAAAGATTTTATTGAGCTACTTTTTAAATTAAAAGGCAATAGTCTGAAACAACTCCTTTATTTTTTAGTGAATTAAGAATAAAAATATAAATTAATATTAGCTCCAGAGCAGGTTAAAATGTTATATAATTTTATGATTGAATAGGATGATATTTAAAATAGTTCTAATTGCATGAAGTTTATATCTAATCTATGGAATGTTGATAAAAATGCATATAGATTAATGTCATAGATGAAATTTTAAATTATTAGCATTTCTGAATATTATAAAAATTAATTCCTGAATTAATAATAAGTTGAGTAAACATTTAAATAGTTAAATGAAGTAGAAAAAATATTTTAGATGATTTATATTGCATCCAAGGATGAATAACAATTAGAGTAATGCAGAAACTTTTTTAATTCTCAAGAAATTTAAGACTTATTTAATATTTTGGATTAATTAATAATATAGATTTGGAATTTACATGATTGTAGATATAACTATAAACTATTACCAATCCTAAAAGCATTTTTGATATGTCATTAAATTATTCATCCAATTGCAAATTAAAATTTATAACTCTTAAAAGTATCTTCAATGGAAATCTCAGAATCAACAGGAAATTTGAT